GTCTACAAGTTGATTTCTTTTTTTCTTTTTTTGAGAGAAGGAAAGAAAAAGAGTGAAGGAGAGGAAGAAAGAGGAAGAAGAAGAGGGAGAGAGAATGGAAATGTTGCTTTATTCTTTAAAAAAAAAAAGGGTATTAATAATGGTCAATCAATATTTCATTTAAACCTACGAGTAGGTGTGATGTGGTATTGACAAGAATGTATATTTTGTGTATTTAAAGTGCAGAGCTCTATAAATATTTATTAAGTTTACTTGTTCCGGATCTGAGTTCGAGTCCTTGATATCCTTATTCATTTTCTGTCTCATTGAATCTAAGTCTCTATGTATCTGGGTGTTAGGATCGTTAGCTCTTGTTGTTGCATTGATCCTTTTACCACTATATCTTTGTTGCTTTAAAATCTATTTTATCAGATACAAGAATTGCAACTCCTGCTTTTTATTTATTTGTTTATTTTTGCTCTCCATTTGGTTGGTAAATCTTTCTGAGTCTTTGTGTATCCTTGCATGTGAAGTGGGTCTGGATGTAGCATACCGTTGGGTTTTGGCTGTATCTTTTGATTGGGGGATTTAGTCGATTTAAATTTAGGATTACTGCCATTTGATGTTAACTGGCTGTTTTATCCATTTGTTGATGTAAATTCTTCTTTATGTTGATGCTCTTTCCTTTTTGGTATATTTTTAGAAAGGCTAATACTGGTTGTTTTTTTCTATGTGTAATGCTTCTTTCAGAAGCTCTTGTAAAGCAGGCCTGGTGGTAATAAAATCTCTGAGTACTTGCTTGTTCATAAAAGATTTTCTTTTTCCTTCAGTTGTGAAGCTCAGTTTGGCTGGATATGAAATTCTGGGCTGAAAGTTCTGCTCTTTAAGGATGTTGAATATTGGCCCCCACTCTCTTCTGGCTTGTAGAGTTTCTGCTGAGAGATCTGCTGTAAGTCTGATAGGCTTCCCTTTGTGGGTAACCTGACCTTTCTCTCTGGCTGCCCTTAGTATTTTCTCCTTCGTTTCAACCCTGGTGAATCTAACGATTATGTGCCTTGGGGTTGCTCTTCTTGAGGAATATCTTTGTGGTGTTCTCTGTATTACCTGGGGTTGAATATTGTCCTGCTTTGCTAGTTTAGGAAAATTTTCCTGAGTAATATCCTGAAGAATATTTTCCAGCTTGGATTCATTCTCTGTCGCATTCAGGTACACCTATCAAACGTAAATTTGGTCTTTTCACATAGTCCCACATTTCTTGGAGACTTTGTTCATTCCTTTTTATCCTTTTTTCTCTAATCTTGTCTTCTCATTTTATTTCATTAAGTTGGACTTTGACTTCTGATATCCTTTCTTCTGCTTGAACAATTCGAGTGTTTAAACCTGTGCATACTTCTCGGAGTTCCTGTATTGTATTCTTCAGTTCCATTAATTCACTTATATTCCTCTCTAAGTTGTCTATTCTCATTAGGATTTCGTCGAACCTTTTTTCAAAGTTCTTAGTTTCTTTACATTGGGCTACCACATGTTCTTTTAACCCACAGAAGTTTCTTATTATCCATCTTCTGAAGCCTGATTCTGTTAATGGGATGTGCTCATTCTCCATCAAGCCTTGTTCCCTTGTCAATGAGGAACTGTGATCCTCTGTAGAGGGAGAGGCATTCTGATTTTGAGTATTCTCAGCCTTTTTACGCTGGTTTCTTTCCATCATTGTAAATTTATCCACCTGTCGTCTTTGTAATTACCAACTTTCAAATTAGGTCTCTGAGTGGACGTCCAAGTTGTTAATTCCCAGGGCCAAAATATGAGCAACCCACTGCGCTGGCCAAAACAGCAGCATTAAGACTGATGGTGCTTTTCTGCCTGGGAATCTCCAGTCTGGCTTCCTTGTTGAGTCCCTAATAGGCGACTGCCTTCCCAGAGCTCCAAACCTCGGTCAGAAGGGGAACCAGTCCCGTTTACTCTGCACCAAGAGCTGCTGCACCAAGGAGCCGGCAAAACCGCTGCCCAGCCGCAAGAGTCGCGCTGGCGACCCGTGTGGCTCCTCCACTGGGAATCTTCTGCTCCATGAGCAACGAAAATTTGTCTGAAAGTGTGGCATCCTCTCATTCTCTGCGCTTTCACTGGGAGCTGCAATTCCAAGATGTTAGCGATCAGCCATCTTGGATCATTCTCCCATATCCTCAATTTTTAAAACATGTTATAGGTATGCTTTTATGTTAGTAAATGTGATTATACAATATTTTATTTAATCAGGTTGGTGGTAGTGGTTGTTGTTTTGCCATGGAATCTCACTCTGTCAGCCAGGCTAGAGTGCACTGGCGCGATTTTGGCTCACTGCAACCTCCCCGGGGTTCAAGCGATTCTCCTGCCTCAGCCTCCCAAGTACCTTGACTACAGGTACCTGCCACCATGCCCAGCTAATTTTTGTATTTTTAGTAGAGATGGGGTTATATCTTATTGGCCAGGCTGGTCTCGAACTGCTGACCTTGTGATCCTTCTACCTCAGCCTCCCAAAGTGCTGGGATTACAGGCATGAGCCACTTCTCCTGGCCTTAATCAGTTTTTTGAAAGGGGTGATACATACACATCAAACAAGCTTCAAATGATACAACTATGGTATTGAATGAAAACAGCAAATTTTCCACCTCTGTCCTTAGCCACCACTTCTAGACTCTCTTAGAGGTAACCACCTTTCCCAATTTCTTGTCAGTGTTTCTATGTATTGTTCAATTTATGTACCCAGGCTTCATTTCTCTCTTTTTTTTGTTTTTAATAGAGATGGGGTTTCACCATGTTGGCCAGGCTGATCTCGAACTCCTGACCTCGGGTGATCCGCCCACCTCGGCTTCCCAAAGTGCTGGGATTATAGGCATGAGCCACCACGCCCAGCCACACTTAATTGCTCTTAATATTTTGCTAATATAAAAGCATTTCGGTCAGACATGGTGGCTCACACCTATATTCCTACCACTTTGGAAGGCCAGAGTGAGAGTATTGCCTGAGCCCAGGAGTTCAAGACCAGCCTGAGCAATATAGTGAGACCTAGTCTCTACAAAAAAAAAAACAAAAACAAAAAAACATAAAAGAAACTAGCCAGGCATGGTGGCATTCGCCTGTAGTCCCACCTACTGGTGTTGTAGTGGAGCGAGCATAGAAAGTTAACACTAAGACAAAACTATGCTAAATTGCAGGGTTTTTATTGCTGGAGGCCCTGGACGACTCAAGTCTCTTCAACCTGTGGCCCCAAAAGGAGGGTGTTAAGACCTTTTATACCCGTAAAAATTACCCTGGGAGTAACGGTGAGGGGTGGGGGTGGGGGTGAGGGACTTGAGACATTCTGAGGGCTAGTGGATTCTGTAAATTATCTTCTGGGCAGAGATGAGGGTGAGGGGTTTTGGGTGTCCAATGGATTCTTGGGCGAAGATGAGGATGAGGGGCTCTGGACAATCCGAGGGCCAGGGGACTTTTTGGCATTCTGATTGTTACTTAAGTGGTTCACAGAAGTTAAGATCAGCATAAGATCAGCATTCGTTTACACATTGTTTGGGTAGGGTGGCAGTTACAGTCCTTAATTACTTATTACATTTGGGTTATAGAGAGCAGTTTCAACAGAAAGCTGAGGTATGGTTGAGGTATGCAGGTTTATGGGGCTTTTTATCATGTCACGCTGGGGAGGGTGAGGCAGGAGGATTGCTTGAGCCCAGGAGATGAAGTTTGTAGTGACCTATGATCATGCCACTGTATTCCAGCCTGGTTGAAAGAGCCAGACCTTGTCACTGAAAAAGAAAGTACAGAGATGAATATCCTTAGAACTAAAACTTGAAGCACTTTCTTAATTATTTTCTTAAGATAAATCCCTATAAGTAGTATTACGGGCTCAAAGAGCATACATATTTTTAAGGCTTGTGATGCACACTGTCAAATTCCATGCAGAAGTATTGTGCTGGTTTTCTGTCTCACAAGAAGTATATGCCAGCATCAGGCAGAATTATTTATATAAATGGTTTTTAGGATCCTATGAACAGCATTAACTGCGCCTTTCTCTGCTAAAACAACTTTTCTTTTTTTCTGAGACCATCTCTCACTCTGTCACACAGGCTGGAGTGCAGTGACACGATCTTGGCTCACTGCAACCTCTGTTTCCTGGGTTGAAACAATTCCCCTGCCTCAGCCCCTGCTAAGTAGCTGGGACTATAGGTGCCTGCCACCATGCCCAACTAATTTTTAGTAGAGACAGGGTTTAACCATGTTGGCCAGGCTGGTCTTGAACTCCTGATCTCAAATGATCTGCCTGCCCGGACCTCCCAAAGTGCTGGGATTACATGTGTGAACCACTGCGCCTGGCCTGAAACCAGCTTCTATATAAGTGATTGTTACTTTCTACTCTTTCCTCTTCCCTAGCAGGTTTTCTTAAATGTTTTCTTGGAGCCTTAAAGATAGAGATGACAGAAATGACTGGTGTGTCGCTGAAACGCAGGGCCCTTGTTGTCGAAGATAATGACAGTGGGGTCCCAGCTGAGGAGACAAAAAAACAGAAGTTCTCAGAATGCAATCCAACCAAAGATCAAGATGGGCTACAGAATGACTTTCTGTCCATCAGTGAAGACATGCCTGGGCCTCCTGACACTGTCAGTGCTGGGAAAGGTGGAGAGAATTCTGAGGCTCAGTTGGAAGACGAGGAAGAGGAGGAAGATGGACTTTCAGAGGAGTGTGAGGAGGAGGAATCAGAGAGTTTTGCAGACATGATGAAGCATGGACTCACTGAGGCTGACGTAGGCATCACCAAGTTTGTGAGTTCTCATCAAGGGTTCTCAGGAATCTTAAAAGAAAGGTATGTTTAGTTTATGTATAAAGTTATTTTGATGGATTAGGTTTCTTCTTTAGAAAGAAATCAGTTTTATATTCTTCCATTTAGCTTTCTATCTCCAAGGATTGTTTATACTGCTGGTCAAAAGGAATAGGATGAGGGAAACCTGCCTGAATAAATAAATAGCCTTAGATTTTAAATTTTTAATTAATTTTTTCCCCTTTTTTGAGAGAAGCTCTCACTCTGTCACCTAGGATGGCATGCAATGGCAACATCATGGCTCAAATAAATTCATTGACTGGGTGTGGTGGCTCACGCCTGTTACCCCAGCCCTTTGGGTGGCTGAGGCAAGAGGATCTGGGGTCAGGACTTTGAGACCAGCCTGGCCAACATGGTGAAACGACACCTCTACTGAAAATACAAAAGTTAGCTGGGCATAGTGTCAAGCACCTGTAACCCCAGCTACTCGGAGGGTGAGGCAAGAGAATCACTTGAACCTGGGAGGTGGGGGGCGTGAACTGAGATCGCACCACTGCATTCCAGCCTGCCCAACAAAGTGAGACTTCGTCTTAAAGAATAAATAAGTAAATTCATTTAAATGGTTTCAGGTGTTCTCCTGACTGTGTTTTATAATCTTAAACTCTTTTTTCACTTGAATGTACCACAGCTGTGGTAGAAGAAGGTAGTCTTTGGAGCCAGATAGATCCCAGTGTAAATCCAGTTCTCTACTTAGTAATTACTTCGCTTCTGTGAACCTCAGTGTTCTTATTTAAAAAATGGATCAGGCCGGTATAGTGGCTCATGCCTGTAATCCCAGCACTTTGGGAGGCCCGAGGCAGGCAGATCACTTGACATCAGGAGTTCAAGACCAGCCTGGCCAACATAGGGAAACCCGATCTCTACTAAAAATACAAAAATGAGCCAGACATGGTGGGTAGCAAGACTCTGTCTCAAAAAATAATAAAAATAAAATAAAATAGGATGAGCACAGCACACCTGTAATCCCAGCACTTTGGGAGGCTGAGGTGGGTACATTACCTGAGGTCGGGAGTTTGAGACCAGCCTGACCAACATGGAGAAACCCTGTCTCACTAAAAATATAAAAAATTAGCCGGGTGTTGTGGCTTATACCTGTAATCCCAGCTACTTGGGAGGATGAGGTAGGAGAATCTTTTGAACCCTAGAGGCGGAGGTTGCAGTGAGCCGAGATTGCACCTTTGCAATCCAGCCTGGGCGACAAGAACAAAACTCCATTTGAAAAAGATAAAGCCGTGCGCGGTGGCTCACGCCTGTAATTCCAGCCTTTGGGAGACCGAGGTAGGTCGATCACCTGAGGTTGGGAGTTCAAGACCAACCTGACCAACATGGAGAAACCCTGTCTCTACTAAAAATACGAAAATTAGCCAAGCATGGTGGCGCATGCATGTACTCCCAGCTACTCGGGAGGCTGAGGCAGGAGAATCGTTTGGAGCCGGGAGATCGTGCCATTGCACTCCAGCCTGGGCAACAAGAGCAAAACCCCATCTCAATATAAATAAATAAATATAAAATAAAATAGATTATATACCACATTGGGGTTGTTGAGGAGTTTGAATAATGCATGTAAAATATTTAACATGAAGGCAAGCTTCAGGCTAGTTCAAGTAGACTCACTGGGTTCTGATTCAATTACCGTGTATTATATTTTGTGGCTTAATTTAGTGGGAGCTGTCTGAATAGTCATAGGGTAATGTTTTGTTTTTTTTTTTTTTTTTTTGAGATGGAGTTTCGCCCTTATTACCCAACCTGGAGTGTAATGGTGCAATCTCGGCTCACTGCAACCTCCACCTCCTGGGTTCAAGCAATGTTAGTAAGCTTTTGTTTTTTGTGTTTCTCTGGAAAAATATTTTAGAAGCTTAGAGGGTATTTTCTTAAATTATCATATGAAACTTGAGCCAAGGTGTGGCTCAGCATTCATTAAAAAAAAACAGAAAAGGGCCGGGCGCGGTGGCTCACGCCTGTAATCCCAGCACTTTGGGAGGCAGAGGCGGGTGGATCACGAGATCAAGAGATCGAGACCATCCTGGTCAACAAGGTGAAACCCCGTCTCTACTAAAAATACAAAAAATTAGCTGGGCATGGTGACACGTGGCTGTAATCCCAGCTACTCAGGAGGCTGAGGCAGGAGAATTGCCTGAACCCAGGAGGATGGAGGTTGCAGTGAGCCGAGATCGTGCCATTGCACTCCAGCCTGGGTAACAAGAGCAAAACTCCGTCTCAATTAAAAAAAAACAAGAAACAACAACAAAAAAAAAAACAGAAAAGGCCAGGTGCGGTGGTTCATACCTGTAATCCCAGCACTTTGAGAGGCTGAGGTGGGCGGATTGCTTGAGGTCAGTAGTTCAAGACCAGCCTGGCCAAAATGGTGAAACCCCATCTCTAGTAAAAATAGAAAAATTAGTGGGGCATGGTGGCACATGCCTGTAATCCCAGCGACTCAGGAGGCTGAGACAAGAGAATCACTTGAACCCAGGAGGTGGAGGTTGCAGTGAGCCAGGATTGTACCATTGTACTCCAGCCTGTGTGACAGAGCAAGACTCCATCTCAAAAAAAAAAAAAACAAACTCCCATGTGATTTTTGCACTGAAGATTTTTAAAAATTCCTTGTTTTGCACAATAGTAAAGCTTACTATTGATCAACTTTATCCTAAAATTAATAGAAAACAGGGTGTTAATTATCTGAAAGTTTATGTTTTCTTTTCATCAGGTACTCCGACTTCGTTGTTCATGAAATAGGAAAAGATGGACGGATCAGCCATTTGAATGACTTGTCCATTCCAGTGGATGAGGAGGTAAAAGTAGCTCTTTAGCAAATGTCACCTTCTGTATAAAAATAGCATTTCCTAGAGATCCAGAAATACAGAGCTTTAATAAAGTTGAATTCTGTGTATGATTCACCGAGTTCTCATGGTTATTTTAAAGGACCCTTCAGAAGATATATTTACAGTTTTGACAGCTGAAGAAAAGCAGCAATTGGAAGAGCTCCAGCTCTTCAAAAATAAGGAAACCAGTGTTGCCATTGAGGTAAATAATGTAGAAATATTTGAAAAGGTTTTTAGGGTTTTGGTTTATTTTTGGGTCAATGTTAAGTGTTTATGCAAAAAGTTACAATGGTTAACAAAATGGTGCCATTGCTTTATTGGATCTAAAGGGTATTTACGCTAAAAAAAATTTTTAATGGGATAGATAACTGGTATCCCAGGTAAATTATATCCCACCACAAGTTATGTTTTGTTTAAAAATATTTTTATTTGGGTGCAGTGCTATGTGGCTATAGTCCTAACTACTATGGAGGCTGAGGCCAGAGGATCTCTTGAGCCTAGGAGTTGAAGACTAGCCTGGACAACATAGTGAGACCCCATCTCTGAGAAAGAATTTCAGGGACCACAAATTAACAAAGATATTTGTTGTTTAGAATCACAGAGTAACTGTTATACCATGGGTCTGTTTCTTTACAGGCATGCGTCACCATACCTGGCTAATTTTTTACTTTTAGTAGAGACATGGTTTCACCATGTTGGTCAAGCTGGTCTCGAACTTCGAACCTCAGGTGATCTGCCCACCATGGGTCTGTTTTAACAGGACCACCATTTGCTGCCTGTCAGGTCTGTGACCCAGGTCAGGTTCTGGCTTCAGCAGTTTCTTGGTCTCAGTTGGGGCTCTGGGAAGGGGAGGAAATGGGGAAAGGAAGTAGGAAAGCATTTGTTTGCTCATCCTGGGTTGATTCTGCTATTGAAGAAATGGAGAGCTCAGCTACTGAGTAGAATAGTAAATGTCATTGTTAAAGCTTTTGTTGACCGGGCACAATGCCTCACACCTGTAATCCCAGCACTTGGGGAGGCCAAGGTGGGCAGATCACTTGAGGTCAGGAGTTTGAGACCAGCCTGGCCAACATGGCAAAACCCCACCTCTACTAAAAATACAAAAAAAATTGGCTGGGTATGGTGGTATGGGCCTGCAGTCCCTGCTACTTGAGAGGCTGAGGCAAGAGAATCACATGAACCCAGGAGACAGAGGTTGCAGTGAGCTAAGATCATACCACTGCACTCCAGCCTGAGTGACAGAGCAAGATTCTATATAAAAAAAAAAAAAATTGGCCGGGTGCGGTGGCTCACGCCTGTAATCCTAGCACTTTGGAAGACCGAGGCGGGTGGATCACGAGGTCAGGAGATCGAGACCATGCTGGTCAACATGGTGAAACCCCGTCTCTACTAAAAATACAAAAAATTAGCTGGGCATGGTGGTGCGTGCCTGTAATCTCAGCTACTCAGGAGGCTAAGGCAGGAGAATTGCCTGAACCCAGGTGGCGGAGGTTTCAGTGAGCCGAGATCACGCCATTGCACTCCAGTCTGGGTAACAACAGCGAAACTCCGTCTCAAAAAAAAAAAATTATGTTAAATTAATTTTGTACCACATTTTAGTGAGCTATGGGTTTTTAGTTATCTGAAATTCCCCCTTCCAGCACTCCTAGTTAATAAATTTACTGCAGCTTTTCAGAATCCATTATCTGCCTCTTGTCTCCCTCCCCACTTGAACTTGCCAAGTGTGTGGTATTACAATGTTAGAGATCTGGAATTACTGACAAAATCTTTTTTTTTTGAGACAGAGTTTCGCTCTTATTACCCAGGCTGGAATGCAATGGTGCGATCTCGGCTCACTGCAACCTCCGCCTCCTGGGTTCAAGCCATTCTCCTACCTCAGCCTCCCGAGTAGCTGGGACTACAGGCCGCGCCACCATGCCCAGCTAAGTTTTGTATTTTTAGTAGGGACGGGGTTTCATCATGTTAACCGGGATGGTCTCGATTTCTTGAGCTCGTGATCCACCCTCCTCTGCCTCCCAAAGTGCTGGGATTATAGGCATGAGCCACCGCGCCCGGCCTTACTGACAAAATCTTTAGATGAAATCTTAAGCAATGCCAGGAAGAAAATTCCTTGCAGGTTTTTAGAGAAATCCAGAATAATCGTTCAGGTTTCCTTTGCTTTTACAATGCAGAGGTTTATCTTAGGCTTTTTTTTTTTTGAGACGGAGTTTCGCTCTTGTTACCCAGGCTGGAGTGCCATGGCGCGATCTCGGCTCACCGCAACCTCCGCCTCCTGGGTTCAGGCAATTCTCCTGCCTCAGCCTCCTGAGTAGCTGGGATTATAGGCACACACCACCATGCCCAGCTAAGATTTTGTATTTTTAGTAGAGACGGGGTTTCACCATGTTGACCAGGATGTTCTTGATCTCTTGACCTCATGATCCACCCGCCTCGGCCTCTCAAAGTGCTGGGATTACAGGCTTGAGCCACCGCGCCCGGCCTATCTTAGGCTTATATGTATTTTCATATACATGTGGTAAAATTTACTATCGTCCTAAAAACTGATGTTTTCCCATCTACCCAAAGTCTTTATGTTTAAAAAGTATAAACTATGAGCAAGTTTCCTCATTTGTAAAATGAAGATAAAAGACTTTCTGAGTTTTTGAGGTCTAACTATGTATTTATATATACAAACTATGATTCTCTTTCCTATCAGTAATTTCAGATCTAGACTCACTTTTTGCTATGAAGAATTGGTTTACCTGTAATTGTAATGTAGTTTGGTGGGATCTTTTTCATGTTTTATTTTGTTGAAATATCATCAAGTTTAGCCAGTAGTAGCTGCGATATTATCTTGATGTTTTCAGCTTGCAGGTTACAACCCATTAATGGATCATGAAATCAGTTTAGCAGTGGTTGATCTCAACTAGCATTTTTAAAAAATAGAATAAAGTAAAGGCTGGGCATAGTGGCTCCTGTGTGGAATTCAGCACTTGGGGAAACCAGGGTGGGCACATCGATTGAGTTCAGGAGATCAAGACCAGCCTGGGCAACATGGCGAAACACTGTTTCTACAAAACATAAAAAATTAGGTGGGCATGGTGGCAGATGCCTGTAGTCCCAGCTACTTGAGAGGCTGAGGTGGGAGGATGGTTGAGCCCAGGAGGCAGAGGTTGCAGTGAGCCAGGGTCTCACCACTACACTCCAGCCTGGGCAACAGAGCCAGACCCTGTCTCAAAAATGCATATAATATAATAAAATAGAAGATATTTGTGCATTGCAAATAGCATGAATATTGTTTTGTGATTTTTTTTTTTTTTCCGATTAGTTTTTTTTTTTTTTTTTGAGACAGAGGTTCGCTCTTGTTACCCAGGCTGGAGTGCAATGGCGCGATCTCGGCTCACTGCAACCTCCGCCTCCTGGGTTCAGGCAATTCTCCTGCCTTGGCCTCCTGAGTAGCTGGGACTACAGGCGCGCACCACCATGCCCAGCTAATTTTTGTGTTTTTAGTAGAGACGGGGTTTCACCTTGTTGACCAGGATGGTCTCGATCTCTTGACCTCATGATCCACCTGCCTTGGCCTCCCAAAGTGCTGGGATTACAGGCTTCAGCCACCACCCCCGGCCTTTTTTTCGGTTCTTGAAGCATATACACACACATTTGTGGTTATATTGAGTAAAGAGGGAGAATGTCTCAGTATGAGATGTACTCACAAACTGAAAACATCATATAACTAGTGAGTTTACATTATGTTGATTCTTCAAGGTGAACCCACGTGCTAGCTAGAACCTCATAAAATAATTTAGAATAGAATTCAATAGGAAGCCGCTGTAGGTTGGCTTGTTCAAAGGGATTGAGTTTCTGATATACCAAAAGGCCTGGTTTTGCTTGCATTTTCATGTAGGAGTCCTGAGGTGTCTATCCAGCAGAGACCCTGAGAGGGAGTATCTGGGTTGGTGGCCCCTCAGTTCCGTAGTCTGTATTTCAAATCCAGCTCTACCACCTTCCAGTGATATAACCAGAGACACAGTTCCTCACTTCTGAATCGATATAATGGTGTTATTTGGGGAGATTACAAAGACTAAATAAAGTGACCAGAGTGCTTTGTACAGTGTCTGCACATGGATGTGCTCCATCAACGGCTCCCAGGATTTGCAATATTGAGAAGCTGTAAAATATTTCTGAGGCTGGGCACTGTGGCTCACGCCTGTAATCTCAACACTTTGGAAGGCCGAGGCAGGTGGATCACTTGAGGCCAGGAGTTTGAGACGAGCCTGGCCCACATGGTAAAATCCCGTCTCTACTAAAAATACAAAAATGAGCCTGGCATGGTGGCGCGTGCCTGTAATCCCAGCTACTCAGGAGGCTGAGGCAGGAGAATCCCTTGAACCCAGGAGGCGGAGGTTGCAGTGAGCTGAGATCACTCCAACCTGGGCGACAGAGTGAGACTATCCAAAAAAAAACCCAAAAATATATTCCTGAAATTGTATGCAGACACTTTTGTTATTTTGCATAGTTAATAAGGTGAGCAGTGTTTTTACTAATTCACCATATTAGTTCCCTATTTAATGTTTGTTAACTTAGTGGTGTTGCTATCTGTTTTTTTTTTTTTTTAATAGGTTATCGAGGACACCAAAGAGAAAAGAACCATCATCCATCAGGCTATCAAATCTCTGTTTCCAGGATTAGAGACAAAAACAGAGGATAGGGAGGGGAAGAAGTACATTGTAGCCTACCACGCAGCTGGGAAAAAGGCTTTGGCAAGTAGGTGTCTGAGTGGCTTCTTCCTGCCAGATGGCCGTGAAAGGCAGGCCTCACTGCTGGTTAGCCTTGCCTGTTTATGTTCTAGGGCTACCCTCAGAGAACAATATTGATCATGTCCCTCCTTCAGAGAGGGTGAGTACTGTCATTTCAGATGCCAGCGCAGTCCTGCAGCCTGTCTGGCAAGGGGCATAAGGTCTTCTATGTGAGTAAAGATTTGCTGAAATTATAGTGGTGCCTGAGAGACAGTCTTAGAGATTTGATGTGCTCCCTGAAGAGCAGAGCATGCTGAGTTGCAATTCAAGAAGAAAATGGAAGTATTGCTCATTCTGTGTTCTTCATGGAGGAGAGAAGGCTTTCAGATGAACAAAAATTGCTTATTCCGCTGGCATATTTTGGCAAGGCCCCTATATTGAAAGAACTTTTGCTTTCCAACTTTATCTTCTTCAGTCACACATAAAAAATAGGAAATATATACAAAGACATCCTTTTGTCTCAGCCCATCTTTTGTTGTGCATCATTCATTTGAAATGGGCATATTGCCAGTGAGTCACCGATATTTGTTCTAATGTGTTTTCCACAGCCACAAAAGTTTCTATTTGCATATAACCTTTAAGAAAAATTGGGTAATTTTTTTTCTTTTACCTACCATATTGACAGATAAGATTTGAATGAAAATTACAACAAGAAAAAGTTATTTCCTTACCCTCTTCTCCTGCCCGTGATGGCCTGTATTAATGAACAATTATTCCTAGATATATTTGTTGGAACAAAATTCTAAGACGATATAGCAAAAACTATTAGGGCTCTATCAGTATTCTTTTAGGTTAATTCAAAAGATAATACTGTGATGGATGAAGCCTTGATTGCTTATAACCATGTTTCTAGTGAAATGAGAGGCTATAACAAAAAAGAGAACAGGAAGAAAGTTTAGCTATGCCTCAGGAAATAATCTAGGCCAGTCAGCAAGACAGGATAGTGCTATAGAAGCGAGATACCTGAGCAGTTACAGAGGAGGAGGTGGAGATCAGAGGCCAGTATTCAGTGAACACTGAAAAGAAGAGTCAGATGATGTGTCCTGTTACTGCTCAGGGCATGAGTTCTTAATCACTCTTCACTCCACAAATGAATGGTGTGGTTGCTGTTTGTTTCTTTAATGTCTGGGTCATATTATAAAATACCACCTGAGCAGCCTTTTTTCAGCCAAGGCTGCTCAAAGAGTAGTAAGCCCAGTGGAAAGTGATTTGAGCAACTGTTGCTTCTGTTCTCTCAAGGATGGTGTACAGCTAGTAACTACTCTAGATGGAGAGGAGAGATAACTCATTACAGACAGCGATGCCTTGAGGCATGTGGTCCTATTTCTCTCAGGGAACCCAGTTGGGAAGGAGGCAAGGCAGTTGTTTCTTGTTAAGAAACAGCCCACATTGGTCAGCAGTGCTGCCCATTATGAAGGCAGGAAGACAAGGCAAGGTCTTGTTCCGCTTGGTGTGGTCTGAGGAAGCAGGTTGGAAAAGGCAAAAGCTGTTTTTTTGACTGGTGGCTTTTTGAAAGTGATCATCATTTCTTAGGAAGCTAGGTTTTGTGAGAGGATGGAGGGCATTTGCAGGCCAAAGTGGCCATTACAGTCTTTCTACCCATCACCTTCAATAAACACAGTGCCAGATCTCTCATGTGTTTTTATCCCCATTTTTTCTGCTTATGCCACACCCACGTTTCCATTTTTTGTTGTTACAAAGTTTCCTTAAGATTTTACAAGTGAAGTACTGAGCTATGTGATGTGAACTACCCTTCCCCATTTCCCTTTGGACACCTTCAGTAAGACAGGAATTTCTCACTTTAAAAAGAAGCAAGAAGGAAGGCTAGATTGGATCAACCCCGCTTTTATAGAGAACTACACTTCTTGGGATTGCGGTGTTGTGACATTTATTCAATGAAAGAACTAAATCTCTGCCATCTGAGCTGTTCTCTCCCACCTCCTCATGGAAGGCCACCCTGGCCCAGTTGGGCCCTTAGGAGCCTGCATTTTTCTTTTACAGACACCACTCTCCCCAAGCTGAGAGTGGCCTAAAGTGAACATCCTCAGGAAAGGAGGAAGAGCTGGTATCCAAAGATTGTTCATGTCCCTCTACCAGTGACAGCTTGTCCTCCTGAGCCGTCTTGCCTAGCATTTGAGTGGTTTAGCTTTTAAAGTATCATTACAAAGCTTTGCAGTTTACAAATGTTTTTAAGCTGTATTACTACCAGACCCTGATAGAAATTGTCATTGGTGGGTTTTACAATATCTTGCAGATTCACAATATTCTTTTTTCTTTTTTTTTTTTTTTGAGACGGAGTTTCGCTCTTGTTACCCAGGCTGGAGTGCCATGGCATGATCTTGGCTCACCGCAACCTCCACCTCCTGGGTTCAGGCAATTCTCCTGCCTCAGCCTCCTGAGTAGCTGGGATTACAGGCACGCGCCACCATGCCCAGCTAAGTTTTTGTAGAGACGGGGTTTCACCATGTTGACCAGGATGTTTTCGATCTCTTGACCTCGTGATTCACCCACCTCGGCCTCCCAAAGTGCTGGGATTACAGGCTTGAGCCACCGCGCCCGGCCAAGAACACAGTTTTTAACGACTTACATAAAAAAGGAAAATTCTGCCATGTGATATGTATAGGTTCTCTATACTTTCTGAAATGAATGGTCCCCAGGAGGGATCCCTGTATGTAGGAATACATAGAGACTCAGGAGTAAGAGCCAGGCAGGTACAAAGAAGCTCTCTGGGAAAGGCTGGTGTTACGGAATCCAGAGGAATAGGGAATCCCAGTAAGTCAATGGACTATCGTTGCTTCTATTCCTGTAGCAATGGAAAATGCCACAGGTAGGTCCAGCAAGATAATTACTCTGAAACCTGTCTATCAGTTTAGCAACATGGAAGTTATTGGTGTCTTTTTGCCAGAGCATTCTAGTGGAATGATGAGGTTGGAAACCAGTTTACACAGTAGGTTGAGGTGGAAGGTAGTGTAGTATACAGACTGCTTATTCAAATAACCTGCAAAGAGGAGAAGAGAAGGGAACATGATTAAGGAGGAGAGAACATATCTTAGGTTTTTAAGATGGAAGAGCCGTGAGTTATTTATATACGCAAGGGAGACAATGGAGGGCCTGTTGTGGTGGCTCATGCTTGTAATCCCAGCACCTTGGGAAGCCTAGGTGGGCAGATTACCTGAGGCATTTAGTTCCAGACCAGCCTGGCCAACAGGGCAAAACCTCATTTCTATAAAAAGAAAAAAAAAAATTAGAAAAAGGAAAGAGACAATGGAGAGGGATGGTGAAAGTTCAGGGAGAAGAATAACAAAATAAGATAATGGATGGAACAGGATCCCTGAAAAGGCTGAAGGTTGGTGTGCAGGGGTGCAGTGGTGGGAATGACCTTGCATAAGAAGGAAAGAATGTTCCGCATGCTACCATCCTTTGATCTTTCTCGGCTACAAACATTTTTCCTTCCTTATTCATGGAGATCTCTGCGCTCAATACATAAACTTCCTGAACTTGGTTTCCCTTTTATCTGGTTTCCATTTTTACTAGACTGGGACTGCCTTGTCAGGCCCTCAGAGAGTGGAAGCAGCCTTCTTCAAATAGGAACCATATTACCCAGCCTGGGAATTCTGTGCATTTGCAGTATAAATCACTGTCTCAAAAATGCCTGCAAGTTATTTTAAATTCACTCAAATTATAAAGCTAAGTATATGCTGCTTAGCATTCTTAGGGGGTGGAATTTTATAAAGTCATACAAATTGCCAAAAGTAAATTCAGACTCACTGATTTTCTGTTATTTAAAATATTCCCAGTTAATCAATGCATATACTTACTGTTTTGTATATTGATTGCACTTAGAAAAAGAATGCATACTTGTATCTGTTGTTTGCAAAGGAGATAATTGTATGCATGCTCAGTGCTTGGATTTGCTAAATGGAGGATGCATGCTTGTGAGCCAAAACTCGCACTCCGTTGTCCTGGTTTCTCTTAAGGTATAGCAGCATTTAGTTTTTTAGTCTTGTAACTTCATTTATTTCTTGCCATTGTACTTAATTATGAATTCTCTGAGGGAGTAATTAAGAAAAATATATGCATACTTCATCAACTTATATCACAAGTATTTTTAAAGTTTTTATTGTGGCCATTTTCAAACTTGTACACAAATAGAGGAAATAGTATATGGAACCTGTGTACCCATAAATCATCTTTAAGATTATCAAACATTCTGTTGTTCTATTGATCTATTCTTCCTACCTTTTTTTTCTTGCTGGAGCATTTTAAGGGAAATTTTACATAGCATGGCTTTTCACTCATAAATATTTCAGTATGTATTTGCCAGATAAGGACTGAAACCCCAAACTATTATCACAATCAAAAACATCAGTAATTTCTTCCCATCACATACCTATTGCATATTTGGTTTTGCTGTATCTCAAAATGTCTCTTACATACAGATGACTTGTTCAAAGAATGATAAAAACAAGGCCAGAACATTGCACTCATTTATAAGTCTCAAGTCATCTCTTAAATCATTTTAAATCTATAAAGAACTTGCTGTTTTCTATATATTTAACATTTTTCAAATTTAAAAGTCTTCATAATTCAATGCAAGAAACTAATGAAATGCAGAAAAATACAAAGCAAAGCAATAATTACTTGTAGCCTAACCACCAAAGAAAACAGATAATCACAAATAGCATTTTGGTACGTGTCCTCCCATATTTAAGAAAACAAATCTCTTTTTGCGGAAGGATTTACTGTCTAGTCTTAAACATTTTGCTTTATCCCAGGGGTTCAGACAGTGCAGCTTTGAGGATGAACTAACATACTCTTATGAAGGTGTTGAGACAAGGAGGCTGTACCTGTAGAAGAATTTTCTAGTTGTTCATTGTTTGCCTCTACAGCTTTCCATTGTTAATGTCTAAATGGCTGTTAACCCACCGCATAACTCCCAGGTGCTGTAGAAGTCCTCAGTGTAAACCATGAGATCATTTGCATGTTCACCTCTAAAGCACTTTAATATTATAAATTAAACATTGCTTTTTTGTAATCTTTATGCTGTGCATTTGGACAGAGGTCAGAACTGCAGCAGGTAAGAGCATTTGGCATTTCATATATGTAAAGTGAAATGCCAAAGATTTTGTCACAAGTGCTAAGTATAGACAACTTAGCTTAACTGATAGTGAGCTGGAAGGAAACTCAAGTGATCTTCCTACTCAACAATTTTCTGAAGAACTTGTGAGGAATTCACACCAAGAGCTAACGAAATACTTGTAATACTTTTCTGTCCAAGACAGAAAAAACTCACATATTTATCAAGAAGGAAGGGTGATTCACTAGACATACATGCTATGGCAGTTTTTTGAAATGGTTTATGGATTATTTTGTTCTTTTCATTGTAGCTTAAATCACTAACTTACCAAACAGTGCTTTTGCCTTGACGAAGCCAGGTATCCAAGTACCAACTTCTGTACCAGCAGTATCTTAAGCCTCTGAAGATAAAGGATTTATGAGTTCATGAAAAAGGATTATTTTTAAAAGAAGAGGACTCTTTCTAGAAATTGTTGTATGAAGCATTTTTTGTTTTTCTTTGACGGAGTTACAGTAAACAAATGAACTAGATGTGTTTAACAGCTGTCGCTCTGTGCCACACAGGACTCAGGAATGTTACTGCACAACATCTGCGAAGTGCAGTTTTGGCCTACATATTTTTCCCAAAGTATTTTTTTAAAAAAAACAAAACAAAACACTTTGAGCAGCTTTAATCTAACTTTTCTTTTTTTGAGACAGAATCTTTTTCCTGTTGCCCAGCCTGGAGTGCAATAGCACAACCTTGGCTCACTGCAACGGCTACCTTGCAGGTTCAAGCAATTCTCATGCCTCATCCTCCCAAATAGCTGGGATTATAGGCACCCGCCACCACACCTGGCTAATTTTTGTATTTTTAGTAGAAATGGGGTTTCACTATGTTGGCCAGGCTGGTCTCAAACTCCTGACCTCAGTGATCCACTGTCTCAGCCTCTCAAAGTGCTGGGACTACAGTCATGAGCCACCACATCTGGCCTAAATCTTAAATTTTTTAACACGAGATTGAAAAACTGAAGTAACACTAGTTGCTCTGAAGTTAGCATTTAACCTGGCTTAATTTTTTTTTCTTCTTTTTTAAAATTAAAAATATTTTTCTTTTCTTTATTTTTTGAGACAGAGTCTCACTCTGTCACCCAGGCTGGAGTACAGTAGCATGATCTTGGTTCACTGCAACCTCCAGCCCCTGGGCTCAAGGGATCCTCCTGCCTCGGCCATCTGAGTAGCTGGGACCACAGGTGTGCACTACCACGCCTGGCCATTTTTAGTGGAGATGGATAGGTCTTGCTATGTTGCCCAGGCCAGTCTTGAACTTCTGAGCTCAAGCTATCCGCCCGCCCCAGCCTCCCAAAGTCCCAAGATTACAGGTATAAGCCACTGTACCCAGTCACATTTTAGCTTTTCGTTTTAAATATGGATAAATACCATTAAGTGTCCAATTGCTGAAACTAATACCTGTAGTCCACACAGCTATAACCACTTAACCTATATTTCTTTTTTTGTTTGTTTTTTATTTTTATTTTTTATTTTTGATACCGGGGGGGGATATCCTATATTTCTTTATCAGACTAGAACTGATTTTCCACTCAAAGGTTCTATAGCAAAAAAAATGAGCTCTTTTACCCATAACTTTTATTGTGGTGTATATAACGTTTACTTTTTTTGCTTTTAAGATCCAAGAAAACATTCTTGGCCAAAATCTAGGGGAAGTTACTGCCACTTTGTACTATATAAGGAAAACAAAGACACCATGGATGCTATTAATGTACTCTCCAGATATTTAAGGTGAGTTACTGTTGTTATGCCTATACAAAATAAAATCAACAACAGAAATGTGTATTCCTTTTTCCGTGATAATGGAAAAATGAGCAGGGCAGCACAGATTACAGACAGCACATGCACCTTCCAATGATAGTTTGTTTTTTTTTTGAGACAGGTTCTCACTATGTCACCCAGGCTGGAGTGAATGATGATCACAGCTCCCTGCAGCCTTGACTTCCTGGGCTCAGGCAATCCTCCCACCTTAGCCTCCTGAGTAGCTGGGATTACAGGCATGTGCCACCATGCCAGGCTAATTTTATTAGGTTTTAGAGACAGGGTCTCACTCTATTGCCCAGGCTCATCTTGAACTCCTGCACTTAAACAGCCCTCACACTTCAGCCTCCCAAAGTGCTGGCATTAAGAATCGCCATTCATGGGTAGGAAGTGCATTGTTTCTTCCAGGAGGGAGCCAGTGCTCCAGGCTGCAAGGATAGATTTCTTAGGCAATGGATGAATTAAATTTTTTGACCGCCACATGCGTAGTGCCAGTAATTCAAGATGAAAATTCTGTAAGTAAATGATTCTCATGCAGTTGAGAGTTACCAGTCCATCTGGCTGAAAACGAAAATTAACTTTCTCTTCTGAAAGCCTATACTTATCCTTTGACGTGGTTGCAGAGATTGGTTTTGCCAGACTGGGAGCTCTCAATTCCTGGAGACTGACTCAACCTGAGAGCAGTCTGATTTTCTCACAGGAATGTAAATATAGCAGAGGCTGGATCTCTGGGGGTAGGCACGGGGCCAAAGCTTTTCTTAAAAATGGAAGTGGCTATGCACCACAACAGGTCGGTATGCTGTGGAAATTTGGATTCTAATTTATATTTAACTCAGCTTAAATATGGTAGCACAGTGTATTAGTTTGCTAGGACTTCCTTAACAAAATACCACAGACCAGGTGGCTTAACAGAAATTAATTTTCTTATGCTTCTAGAAGCTAGCAATCCCAAGCTCAAGGTGTCAGCAAGTTTGTTTTTTTTCCCAGAGGCCTCTCTCCTTGGCTTGCAGATGGCTGCCTTCTCACTGTGCCCTCATGTGGCATTTTCCCTGTGCATGTACACCCCTGGTACCTGTGTGTGTGTCCACGTTTCCTCTTATGAAGGCACCAGTCAGATTGGATTAGGGCCTACCTTAAATGGCCTCATTTTAACTTAATCACCTCTTTGAAGGCCCTATCTCCAAATATAGTCTCATTCTGAGGTCCTGGGGGGTCAGAGCATCAACAGATTGATTTTGGGAGAGACACAGTTCAGTCCATAATACACAGTACCCAGTTAAGTAACATTTATTTTGCTCTATTAATTTCCTTGGAGAGAGTCTGTGATATTACACCTGTACCTGAGCCAGGGAGAACAGACCATTCTTGACAGGAATAGATGGGTGGGGAGGGAGTTCCATCAAGATCGGGAGTTGAGGATTGATCGGGGTTTAAGAAGTCCTTCCGGCCGGGCACAGTGGCTCACACTTGTAATCCCAGCACTTTGGGAGGCCAAGGAGGGAGATCACCTGAGTTCAAGACCAGCCTGACCAACGTGGAGAAATCCCGTCTCTACTAAAAATACAAAATTAGCTGGGCATGGTGGCATATGCCTATAATCCCAGCTACTTGGGAGGTTGAGGCGGGAGAATTGCTTGAATCCAGGAGGTGGAGGTTGTGGTGAGCTGAGATCCCGCCACCACACTCCAGCTTCGGCAAGAGTGAAACATCATCTCGAAAGAAAAAAAATTCTACCTGGCCTTTTCCTTCTCATATGCAATGGTAAAGTTTGTAAAATACTTCTTAGTTAACTAGGTTACTTATATCTTCATATCGGAACTATTCAGATCCCAGTTTAAGCATTTCATTTAGCTTTTTTTTTAAATACAAAGCAATAGCAGCATTTTAGGAAAATTCACACACTGACTTTTTCAGAATTGAAGATAAATTTTCATAGTGGTGCATTGTATCTCTAGAATGCATTTTTTCTTTGCCTTTCCACTTCAGGGCTGGATAATTCTTTGTTGTGGGACTGCCCTGTGCATTGCAGGATGTTTCGCAGCATCCCTAGTCTCTACCCACTGTGTAGCCGTAGCAGCTCCTTGCCCGGCTGTGATGGCAAAGAATGCTTTCTTTGCTTTCATAGTCTTAGGTAATGTATTGAATTGCAGGTGATGGGTAGGAAATGTATTGTTGACTTTTTTGTTGCTGGCTAGCCAAGTCTTTGAACAACCTTAGTTATTTACTAATAGCCACAAATGTTTATACTGCTAAGAAAGGAATTATTTGGCCATCATTTACTTTTTTTTTTTTTTTTTCTAAAGAGACCAGGTCTCACTGTGTCAACGAGGTAGTATAGTGTAGTGTACAGTGGCTGTTCACAGGCACCATCATAGGGCACTGCACCCTCGAACTCCTGAGCACAGACAGTCCTCCCCACTCCACCCTTCCCAGTAACGGACTATAGGTGCATGCCACGACACCTGGCTGTCATTTACTTTTCTAGTTTGCATATGAATTTATGTTGTTTTCCTAGATACTTTTTTTTGTTTTGAGACAGAGTCTTGCTGTGTCATTCAGGCTGGAATGCAGTGGCATGGTGTCGGCTCATTGCACCCTCCACCTCCTGGTTCTCGTGCCTCAGCCTCCCGAGTAGCTGGGATTACAGGCTCGTTCTACCACACATGGCTGATTTCTGTATTTTTAGTAGAGATGGGATTTTGCCATGTTGGCTAGGCTGGTCTTGAACTCCTGACTTCAGGTGATCCACCCATCTCGGCCTCCCAATCGCTGGGGATTACGGACATGAGCCACCACGGCTGCCTCCCTGAACCTTAAAATAAAGTTTCTCTTCATTCTTCTTTTACTGTGTTATGATTTTAAGTGTTTATATTAAAACTTAATTATGAGAATTCAGATTTCCTTATGATATTATGGTATGTGACTTTCTTTAGATGATCTTGTTTCTGTCTTACCAGAGTCAAGCCAAACATATTCTCCTACATGGGAACCAAAGATAAAAGGGCTATAACAGTACAAGAGATTGCTGTTCTCAAGTAAGTAGAGAGTACATAACAGAATTTATGCTGTAAAAATCCTGGCACTGCTTTTCAGAATTCTCAAATTTACTTTGTGGGGTTTCTCTCTTTCGACTTTAGATGGTGCTTCTGCCTATTTAAAAATCACTTTTCATTTTGTTTTTTTCTTCTTATCTGTGAGCCGTGTATTATTTGTGTAATTTTTAAAGGATTTTTTTATAGACCTAAGAGAATAAATGCTTTTTTCTCTCTTTTGTTCATTCATTGTTAAATATAACTGTTATTTAAAATTGCAAAACAGTGATCTGCTGTTTTGTTGTACAGCTGAGATCTACAGATAAAAAAGATGGTCGGTGTTTTTGAAGCAGTTGTAATTAGTGGAGTAGACAGACATGTAAATCAGAACTTCTCCTGCAGCAAGATAAATGCTGAAATAGAGATATCCTTTGGATGTTCACGTATGCCTGTCAAGAAGCATGGAACTTGATGTGAGGGCACACAGGAAAGCTTTCACAGAAAATGGGATGCTTGGATTTTAATATAGATCAGGTCTTCTCAGCCTCTGCACTGTTGCCCTTTGGGGCTGGGTAATTCTTTGTTGCAGGACTGTCCTGTGCGTTGCAGGATGTTTTGAATCATCCCTAGTCTCTACCCACTATGTAGCAGTAGCAACTCCTTGCTCAGTTATGATGGCAAAGAATATCTCTAGGCATTGTCAGGTATTCCCAGAGGGCCAGAATTGTCCTTGATTGGGAAGCACTGGTCTAGATTCTGGAAGGATGAGTAGAGATTTCCTGGGGCTGGGTAGGGTTTAGGGTTGTTTTTTCCAAACCAAGAAAGCAGTGTAAGAAAAGACATGGGAAAGCACATGCATTACCTGGCACGTCCTTTAGTTTCGGGGGAGCATAGCAAGAAGTAAGGGTCCAGGAGTTAGGCAGGACATAGATCCCAAAGGGCCTCTTAGATCAGGTTGAGGGTCTTTACCTCGACATTAATCTAAACGGGGAGTGCTGTGTAGAGACTGGATTATGGATTGCAGGTGGAGCAAGACCCATGAAACTGGAGACAGGACTATTGTTATATTTTGGAGAGGGAGAATAGGGGTGTGAACCCAGTTAGTCACAGTGAAGGTAAAAGAGAAAGGATGAATTTAACAGCTGTACAGTGTCAGACACATTTAGGCTTTCATCTTAGTACACCTCCAGAGGCAAGGAATGGTGGGAGAAAGAAATAACATAGGGGCAAAGAAACTTTTGGGGTGATGGATGCATTGTCTTTAATATGGTAATAATTTCATGGGCTTACACACTTCAAAACTTGTACATTTTATTTTATTTATTTATATTTTGAAATGGAGTTTTGCTCTGTCACCAGGCTGAAGTGCAGTGATATAATCTTGGCTCACTACAACCTCTGTCTCCCGGGTTCAGGCGATTCTCTTGCCTCAGCCTTCCAAGTAGCTAGGACTACAGGTGTGCACCACCATGCCCAGCTAGTTTTTGTATTTTCAGTGGAGATGGGGTTTCAGCATGTTGGCCAGGATGGTCTCAATCTCTTGACCTTGTGATCTGCCTGCCTCAACCTCCCAAAGTGCTGGGATTACAGGCATGAGCCACTGTGCCTGGCCTAAAACTTGTACATTAATGTGTACAGTTTATGTCAGTCATACTGCAATTAAAAATAAAGTCCCCTGTGTTTACTACCTCTACTTAAATACATGTGTTTATTTTGGTTTTTTGTTTTCTTTTGAGACGAAGTCTCACTCTGTCACCCAGGCTGGAGTGCAGTGGTGGGATCTCGGCTCACTGCAACCTCTGCCTCCCCCATTCTATTCATTACAGTGTAGTTTTGCTCTTGTTACCCAGGCTGGAGTACAATGGCACAATCTCGTCTCACTGCATCCCCCACCTCCCAGTTCAAGTGATTCTCCTGCCTCAGCCTCACAAGTAGCCGAGATTACAGGCATGTGCCATTGCGCCTGGCTAATTTTTATATTTTTAGTAGAGATGGGGTTTCACCATGTTGGCCAGGCTGGTCTTGACTCCTGACCTCAGGTGATCCACCCACCTCAGCCTCCCAAAGTGCTAGGATTACAGGCATGAGCCACCGTGCTGGGCCCAAATATTTATTTTGAATTCCCTTATCTTTTTGTAAAGAATTTGAGGGGATATCTCCTGTTTACTTAATGATCCCCTACAATTGGGCTTCTTTCTCACCAGTTTTCTGATTCGCCTGAAATAATGTAGTTGTTGAACTGGTTGCATCGTAATGTTTATTCCAGATCTTTTTCTTCCTTGACCTTGGGACAGTAGCATGATGTAATCATAAAAACATTAATCTCACTGTTGTTTTTACTGATGGTGTGTGCAAATATTGAAGCTTTTGAAAGAGAGCAGGAGTAAATACATGAAGGAGATGGTGTTCCTACCTGGTGGCCTGGTTTCACTTTCTCCTTGTGGCATATAGAATGTGGAGTCACCGGGCGCGGTGGCTCAAGCCTGTAATCCCAGCACTTTGGGAGGCCAAGGTGGGTGGATCACGAGGTCAACAGATTGAGACCATCCTGGTCAACATGGTGAAACCCCATCTCTACTAAAAAAAAAAAATACAAAAAATTAGCTGGGCATGGTGGCACGTGCCTGTAATCCCAGCTACTCAGGAGGCTGAAGCAGGAGAATTGCCTGAACCCAGGAGGTGGAGGTTGCGGTGAGCCGAGATCACGCCATTGCACTCCAGCCTGGGTAACGAGCAAAACTCCGTCTCAAAAAAAAGAATGTGGAGTCATTTGCTGACAGTGAAGGAGCAGGAGTGGATAAGGGAGCTTTTGAAAGAGTGGAGATTTGAAATAACCTTTATGGGTAATGGCCCAGGGGCTCCCCAGAAACTCAGAAGAATGGGGGTAGGGGGACAGGGGTTGCAGGCTTTCTCATCCTCTGTGGATAGAGGTCACAACAGAAGGTTTTTGCCTTCTCTTTGGTATCTAAAATACTTAGACACCTCCTGTGATTTTTGACTGGCTCTGTGAATTATGCTTCTGATTAAAAAAAATAAGTTGGTTTATTTTGTTTTCTTTTTTTTTTTTTTTTCTGAGATGGAGTCTCTCTCTGTCACCCAGGCTAGAGTGCAATGGCACTATCTCAGCCCACTGCAACCTCTGCCTCCCCGGGTTCGAGTGATTCTCATGCCACAGTCTCCTAAGTAGCTGGGATTACAGGTGTGCACCACCGTGCCTGGCTTATTTTTATATTTTTAGGAGACATGGGTGTCATCATGATGGTCAGACTGGTCTCAAACTCCTCATCTTAAGCAGTTCTCCCCCCTCGGCTTCCCAAAGTGCTGGAATTAGAGGTATGAGCCACCACACCATGCCTATTTTCTTTTTAACACAGAAAAAACTAGTAGAAAACGAAAGGTCTGCCATAACTGTACTCCCTCAGAGATCACCTTATTCACGGCATGGTAGATATTTCTTGAGAGATTTTTTTTTTTTTTTTTTTTTTTTTTTGACACAGAGTCTTGCTCTTTCGCCGGGCTGGAGTGCAGTGGCATGATCTCAGATCACTGCAACCTCTGTCTCCCGGATTCAAGCGATTCCCCTGCCTCCGCCTCCTGAGTAGCTGGGACTACACACGTATGCCACCACGCCCAGCTAATTTTTTGTATTTTAGTGGAGATGGGGTTTCACCATAGCCAGGATGGTCTTGATACCGTGACCTCATGATCCGCCCGCCTTGGCCTCCCAAAGCACTGGGATTACAGGCGTGAGCCACCGTGCCTGGCCCTATTTTTTTTCATTTTTAAACAAAAATACTTAAGTACCTTGTTTGGAACAATAGATAACATACCTTATTTCCTGTGGGTATATGGCAAAATATGTTTAAACATATGGATATATCCTAATTTAAACTATTTTTCTATTTTTGAATGTTACATTGTTTCCTCCTTCTTGCTATTATAAGGCAGTCCATGACAAACATATTTGTAGCTAAATCTTGGCATCCATCTGTGATAACTTCATTAAGATAAACTTAGCAATGAGATTACTGACTTAAAAGGAATATGACATTCTAACATTTGTCTCTTTTCTTTGCATTTGCTGGTCAAAAGAGAAATTCTTTCTCTTTCTCTTTCTTTTTTTTTTAATAACAAAGCCTAATTTTTCTGCAAAAAAGTGCTACCAGTTTACCACCTTTATTCTAGTTCCCTAGAGTCTTCCCCAGCAAAGTGTTAGGATTTCAGGGGGAGTCATTTGAGGGTGAAAAAAAAATGGCATCTCATTATTTTATTTTTCAAAGTCTTTGAATAGTTAGAATATTTCTTTTTTTCTTGGTCAGCCAGCAGGTGTCACACTTTATCAGGACGCTGCTCTGTCCCCAGATTTTTGCTGCTTTTATCATCTTCCTGTTGACTTAGTAAGAAACCGTATTAGCCACCTAAGTGTTGGCACTCTGAAAGCACAAAGCACTTATCTTGCGGATACAGGCTACACCCTTAGTTTGCCTAATGGATGCATGGGGCCAGGCAGATTGGCCTTTCCCGTGGGAATTCAGGAACTGGAGAAACCTACTCTGCCATGCAAGCATTTGAATGATTGCTGGATTGATCAGTCTTGGGGATAAGCAACACTTCTTTTCAGCTTCATGAAACTCTAAAGCCACCTATGAATTTTAGTAGGATCTCAGGCAGGAACAGTCTTACTGAGAATCATTTGTTTCTTTTCCTGCCAGTCTCTTTTCTGAACTTGGGCCAGTATTTCCCTGGCTTTGTTAATAAAGATTTTCCATGCAACATGTTGGTTAGTTGGTTCCTGATGTTTAAAGGCAACATTTTCATATTCCCTAGTAGTTACTCACTGAATTTGCTGTGAATTTACAACCAAAAAGCTTGATCAGGGATCATCACAATTAAAACTGTGAATAGTATCATGAAGATTTCTTTTGTCAGTTTCATTCCATTTCTCGGGGAGCACCTGCCCCAACCAGCACTGAGTATAGTTCTTGCTTTTTGCATTATCAGTG